CATAAACACCATTAGTACTCTAAAGATTCTCAGCTCTTCCTCAGTAGTAGTATGTTGTGTGCCATCCAACCTGAGGAGCTCATAATCCAGCACTATACTGTCAATCACAGGAGCGGTTCACGTTGCCATGCAGCGTGAAATGATGCCTTCACCGTTGTCACTAAATCGATCATCTGCCTCCAGGATCTTCTTATATTGCTTCTCTTGAATGTAAGTGCCTGTGCGCTTTAGCTGGTCAGCAGGGAGAGCCTTCATGCTTTTGGTGACCCTGCTGGGAGCTTGTATTCCAGTTTGCACTCCTGGCATTCTTTGCTCATCTCTCCCAGCCCCACTTCATCATGATGACACAGCATAACAAGACTTGTGGGGTGGCAGGTTCCCAGCAGTAGCCAAATACATTCCCCCCCACACACACACCATTTCTTAAAGGACTTTAAAAAAAGAGGTACATTATCTTACTTTGGTGTTATATCAAGATTAGTGAAAGCAGTAAATAGCAGTGAATATGGGATATTGCCTAGTTCCAAAAAATGCAACAGAAAAAGTGTAATGAGGTTGAGATGCAAGCCAGGGCGTGCTGTTCTCAAGATAATGGCTTTTGAAGAATTAACACCATTTACAAAGCAAAGCCAAACACTGTAGTGCTGGCTCCCCTTGCAGCTTATTTCTCTTTATTTGCACATTCTTTCCTAGTCTTGGTTCTAACATCAAAATTATATCTGCATGGACGAAAACAGAAGTGGCCCATAAAAGGGTGCCATATTTGAATGAGCAGTGCTTTAATTATCGGGTCTTGAATTAAATTCAGAACCCCCTCCCTAAATCCCACATTGCAAATTAAGCCAATCACAAATCACCAATTACAGGTATTATAAAAGAATACAGTAACTATGGGGGATAACAAAGATCAGGGAGTTGTTCCCACTTTTAATTCAAAGACTATATAAGAAGGAAGCAGATCCTTTCCCCCAAATCAGTGCTGACCTCCCTTCCCCAGTAAGTTACCATCCCGGATGCTGGTGCTGCTTCGCCGGCTCATCCTATCTGCAGTGCTAGTTCTCAAAATGGCCGTCATGTTTTCTCTATTAATTAGCCATGCCTGCTTGATGGAAAAAGGGAAAAAGATCAGTGATCAATATATATAGTAAGGAACAGCCATCACATATGAGTAATACTTGGGTTACTTAGGACTTTCTTATCAAGCCAGGGCCATGAAAATAATTTTACTTATCTGTGTGCTTCATATTTATTTTATGTCATCATCTATCATCATTCTTCTATTGTCAGAAAAGTGCCTATGTCCTACCAAATTCCTTTGGACTATGGCTGGCTCTATTTTTCTTTTTTTTAAAGAGTGATAAAATAGTTTGGCTTTTTACTAATTTTATGGTATCTTTAATATATATTATTTATTTCATATTGTTTACATTCTGTTTTTCCACAATTGTCACCAGTTCTGAGTTAAACCTTAAATATGAATAACGGTATTGACTTGTTCAGAATTGATTCACTCTTAAATTTGCTGAAAACTGATTTTAGGAATGTGGCATCTTGATATTTATTAAGTTTTACATTAAGAGTTGCCTCAGGAAGTCTGCAGTCTTCATAGTTAGTTAAAAAGTGCATTAAATTAATCATAATTATTTTGCATGCACAAGTGATGATATCTCCCTCTTCTGTAAGAAGAGTCACTGTCATTGTTATATAAATTTTATATCAATCTTCATTTATTCGGATTAAGACAATTTTTAATTTTCATCTAAAGGCAATCAAAATGTTATTTATTGGAACCGATATGCTACTCCAATCCAGCAGAGTTTTGCAACTTAAAATTGCTCCATCTAAATATTATACTTTTTTACCACCAGCTGTTCTGTGAGATGGATTCTAGCTATGTAAGACACTTATAGTATTTTTATTTATATTGTTCATATTATTTGGATTGTTCATCCTGAAAATCAGGAGGTAAATAATTGTAATTGATACACTTTTCTGGGTTTTAGAGTTTGTTATTTTTAAAATAAACATTCAAAAAATTAGTAACCAACTGTGGCTTATGGTTAAAATGACCACATGTCCTTTATTATAAAGGACAGTCCTTTATTTCAGAAAGCTGCCCTTTAGATTAATTTATTTTCCTGTTTTTGCTCTTAAATTTTCCTTTGCAAGGCAAAGTAATAAACATAAACAATTTTTTAAAATCCTTATGAACCTCTTTCAGTTTCACCCCCTTTTCAGGTTCGTCCTTTATTTTGTCCAAGGAAATATGGTCACCGTAGTTATGGTGCCCCTGAGGGGTAATGCAGAAGATAAACCTAACTAAATCTTAAAAACTTTCGGAAATCTGTTTTCTTACAAGTGACAGGTGGCGCAGTGTGGACTTTTTAGGGTAATCGCTCTCTTAAAATCTCCATTAAAAAAAGGCTATGCTTGAAAAGGCGGTAGAGTATTGGAGAAATGGGCCAAGTTGTGCGAATTAGGATAAACTTCAGAGAATGAAAGGGGTCATGCAGGAGAAGGCGGGAAAAAGCACGAGCCTTTGAGGGCCAAACTGAGCATGCGCATGAGAGGGCTCGCGTCACGCCTGCGCATGCCTCAAAACCTCAACGGCGCCTAAGGACCCCTTTCCTCCGCTAATTCAACCCCTCTCCCTCCCTTCCCCCGCTGTGTGAAAGGTTCCCTTCAAATTCGCACGCTTTAAATTACAGACTGCTGTGCTTCTAATCCACCCACCCTGTTCAAAAAGTACTCGAGGGTAAGTCGGGCTTGTGCTTCATAAACTTCAACCTCGTCCGCGCCTGCGTAGCGTTGCCGCGCGTTGCCAGGCGACCGCACCGGCGCTTCCGTTTAAAAATCCTCTCGGGAGTTCGCGTGTTGCTATGACGTCTTAAGAGGAGCCCTAGAGATACGAAGGTAGAGTGACACGCGAGGGTTAAATTCAGGGTTAGAGGGAGGGGTTTTTTTCCCCCTTCCAATAACAGTTCTCAGTTCAACCGTAAGGGTTAAGGTTGTGAAATATATAGGATTCTTCCACTTTTTCTAACTATGGTGAACATTCACTTCCTGCTGTGCAACGAAAGGGACGGTATTTTATATTGTAGAAAATGTTACCTTTTGTTCTTTTACCATTGCGGGAGTGGGGGTTGCTATTATTTTTCTCTAGGCCAGTGTTTCTCAACCTTGACAACTTTTAAGACATGGACTTCAACTCCCAGAATCCCCCAGCCAGCCATGCTGGCTGGGGAATTCTGGGAGTTGA